TAAAGTGATTGTTTTGAACAAGTATTAACTTAGACTAGTATAAAAAAAATATTTTAGCTAAAGTATTTATCAATACTGTGTGCCTTTTACCCCGTGATTGTGAAACACGAAACACCTCACATGATTTTACAGTGAAATGTGTCATTTTTCTTGTTAATCAGGTCAAGTTTGATCAAGAAAAATGCACTGTGGCTTTAATTCAGCGTAAGCGACGCAGCAAAAATAGACTAGGCGCCGAAACTATCAAACACTGCCGCTTCTGCTCTGCTCCTGGTGAGGTGGATGGATTATCTTGGCAAAGGAGAAGTGCTCACTAACACAGATTTAGACAGATTTGTGAACAATATTTGAGAGAAATAGGCCTTTTGTGTACATAGAAAAAGTCTTAGATCTTTGAGTTCAGCTCATGAAAAATGGGGGCAAAAACAAAAGTGTTGCGTTTATAATTTTGTTCAGTGTATCTTCAGTATGTAAATATTCAGCATATTAACAACAACAAAAAATTAATAAAAAAACGAAAAACAGTGGAATGTTGATTTTATCAGCTTAAAAAACAAGTAAATAATATTGAATAACTAAAATAAGTTTTTACATTCAAAACCAATGTTTGTTTGTTAATTTATCTAGTAGCTTTTTTTAAACTAATGATATACTGCTTGCCCCAATGCTTTTTATATAATCTGGTTTTGTTTTGTTTGTCAGATATTGTCTTTATTGATCATTTATGGCTTCTTATAATTCTTAAACATATAAACACAAACGTCTCCAGAATCGTTTTTACTTTTTAACCAAAATTTATTTTTGCAAATGATTTTAGTTTCAGTTCACCTTTTACCAGTTTTGAATATTTAATTCTTGAAGTTCCATATTCATCTTTTTGACTGATTTTGTTATTTTTCCATCATACAATTGCAAGCAGGATTGTTAGCAGAAACTATATGGTTTCAAATATAGGCTACTGTTTTATTAACACTGATATATACACTAGCATCTTATTACCGGTACTTCCTTTGCTTTATCACACACTTCCTTCAAAATATATATATATAGCTATATCTGCTAGACTTTTTTTGTCAATGTCGAATTGTTAGCATTGGTTATGCTTATCTTAGGTAGCTCCATTGAAGGCATCTTGAGTAAAACAGCTCTATTTTTAAAGACTTATTTAAATGATTAGTTTAGTTATCATTTATGCAATAAATACTTTCCTCAATTATATCTGCTTTCTAAGTTGAAGGGGGAAATTTTAATACACAGACATAAATAAATGTTTTTCACCAAGATTTCAAATATGAATACCTTCGATATATGTTTTATTATTTGTGTGTTTCCAATCTGTGCATAATGTCTCTGCACCTGTGTGATTTTAGACAGCAGCGTGTGAAAATACTTTTATTTTGGGTGACGATGTGACGTCATAAGTCATCGCCGCTCTCCTGCATTTGTTGTGATTCGGTTGAAAAAAGGTGGGTGTTTTTAAACATTTAAAGTGCTTAAATCGATACAATCCATTCAAACAAATATATAATTTTTACCAGAGAAGCAAGTGAGTTAACTGTTACTGAGTTTAACATTGTAATGCTTTATCTAACATTATAATCAGTAAATCCTATCCGTACTTGAGTAACAGAAAAGGTGCGTCCCATTTCGTTCCCAATATCGTCAATCAGTTTATCGTAAACGCGAATTCGGTCACTGGCAAGCAATGATGGGAGAAACTGAGCTTTTCGGAACTCCGAGTCAATTGAACCAATTGCTTCGCTAAATGATTCACTGAATCGAAGCGCTCGAATTGCTTCGCTAAATGATTCACTGAATCGAAGCGCTCGAATTGCTTCGCTAAATGATTCACTGAATCGAAGCGCTCGAATTGCTTCGCTAAATGATTCACTGAATCGAAGCGCTCGAATCACCGCAGGCTGACGACACTTGTTGGTCAGAACAGTGTAAATGCAACGACTCGACAACACAAACATGAACATTAAATATATACAAATATAAATCATAATCAAATATGAAGGGCATGTGCACTTTTTGTTCTGTGCAGGTTTTTTTTTGGCTAATCAGGCCATTTAAGACAATTTGTCACTATGACTGACTGCTTACCATTGCAACGACTCGACAACACAAACATGAACATTAAATATATACAAATATAAATCATAATCAAATATGAAGGGCATGTGCACTTTTTGTTCTGTGCAGGTTTTTTTTTTGGCTAATCAGGCCATTTAAGACAATTTGTCACTATGACTGACTGCTCACCAGTGTGTTGACTACTGAACTAGGGAGCTGATTGAGATGCACCCAGAGATTTAGTTTGGGTTTTATTTCTGTCCAATTTTATTTGCATCTTAAACATGATAATATGTGCAAACACAGAAAACACCCTGCTGAAGCAACTGGGACCCACGTGACACTATTATAAAGATGGCATTTATTAAAGAGGAGAGTGAAGACCTGAAGATTGAAGAAGCATTCAGAGTCAAACAAGAAGATACTGAGGAACAAACAGGTTAGTTTCCATTCTCAAAGCTGAATAATACTGATACTTATTAAACTGTTTCTCTTTTTAAAAAAAAATATAATGTTTTGCAATGTCGTATGGGTGTCCTAACTGAAGCTGTTTAATGTGAACACGTGTCCAGCCAAATACTAATGCTACCTTCAAATGCACCTGATAAGCTCCTGCTTCCAAGCTGGGCATTCGTTATTACAACTTGTCACACATTAAAAAATACAGATAGAACCCAATATCTACTTCTAAATTGAAAACCAAAAAGATCATTCATTTCTGTCACATAATTATGCAACAATATCTAACAAAAATATTAATTTTGCATAAAGCAAACTGCAAAAGGTGAGTGATCAACATCACGTGTGTTGTCTTTAAATAATATTTTGTTCATAGTCGTATAAAGTGCTCACTATATAAAACCGGATCCTTTTAAGCACAATTGTATTTCCAGATGGACATCTGTGTGCCCTTTCCTCCTGAAAGTACTAACTTTTAAAGGGAAAATTTTATATATATATATATATATATATATTTATATAAATAAACCATTTGGGTAACAGTGGGAGAGTCATCTGTAAGTAAGAAAGAAAAGATTACATGTAAAGGCCAATTCACACCGTGCCGACAAACGCCAACAGACTAGTCTTTCGGTGTTTGTTGGCGTTGGTCGGAGTTGGTTTTAACTCTCTTTCCAAAAAAGGGTATTTTGTTTTGTTCCCAAACCTATATAGAAAATGAAAAATAATCTTAATAGCAGAAAGGAATGTACCATTTAATAACAGCTTGAGCAGTCTTTATAAGCAGATTGAGATGTTGTAAACAACATGCATTTATATACTACCGTGCATTAATCTCTGTGCATAGTTTACCCTGATAAAAATAAATTAACCATGGTTTAATTATAGTAAAAACATTTTATTTATTTGTTTGTTTATTTTTGGCACGTGGTTAAAAAACGCTACTTGTATAAAATTGCGTTCTGAGAAGAAAAAACATTTCGCATTTTACTATTACATTCAGAAATAATGTAGGGTAAAATACCGGGAAATCAAAATGTTTACAAACATTATAAACACAGGCTATTTTATTGCCTTCCCTCCACAACAAATCCTCTAAAGTTAACAGTATTTAGGCTATAAACATCAAGCCAAAAACAAATTAATTTAAAGGGAAACTGAAGCCTACCTCTCTCATTCGGCACGAATCCAAATGTTTCGCGAATCGCAACATATTTGGATGAAAAATAATAAAATAATATTTATTATGTATTGGTTTTACACTTAACTCGCATTATCGACATAAATCATCATCCTTCACAAAGGCTATAACAGCACAGTGAGGCGCTGGTCACGCTGAACGCAATAACGGATTATTTCAGTTGAGCATTGTAACTTTTATATGTTTCTTTATGTATTTTATTTTGATAACGAACAGGCTGCGATGTCAAGGCGCCAGCGCGTTCACTGCATTGTTTTTCCAACTGTTAATCGTAATTTAGTCATATACCAATGCTGGTTGGTCATACAAGCAAGACATCATTCATCACTGTAAAGCCTTGGCAAAATAATAATAATAATAAAGAAAGAAAAAATAAAATGTCTCTAAGATGAGCGGTACGCCACTGGCTACAGCATACATGACCGTAGTTACCTGTGGTTGGCCTGGTCGTGCGTCACTCAGAAAACAACAGGCCAATCAAAAGAGAGGCTCAATAGTCCAGGTGATATGTGCAAAACTTGAGGTGATATGTTCACTTTTTCATAAAAGCATGAAATTTGGTACACTTGAACAGTTTGGGGCCCTGAACATCGCATCAAAACACCTTGTGGTTGCCATGGCAGCCATTTTACTTTCTGCCATTACCAAATTATGTATTTTGTGTCATATCTTCTGAGAAGATGTCTACCCATATATTTTGATGGTCAAGGATTACAATGATACCATATGCAACAACATAAACTGTTCTGGTGAATAGTTAATGGTGAAATCAGTGACGTGAGAAGGAAATCACAGTATCTGAGTAGTACAGTATCACAGCATCTACAATAGTCCATATTATGGCTATTTATTTTCTCTTTCTTTGATAATTGACTAATATTTTATTCAGTAATACAATATTATTTTCAAGAATACAATCAAATATTTCAGAGATATATATAAAAAAAATCCTCTCATGTAACTATATCTTTACTTACTTCTCATGCAGAGTCAGGTAGGCGGTTGTGCTTAAGTGTTTGCTTAATACATTGTTTCTGTTTCTGTTGTTTAGATTTTATTTGCTGTTAAGTGATTATTTCATTTACTGTTTCTATTTATCTTCTTTCGTTATAATTTGTATTTTGATTGCACATATTTGTAATTAGAATAAAAGTTGTCAGCTAAGAAGAAGCTTTTGATTTGGTACTGTTTGTTTACTGCACTTAAGTGGCAAATTGTCCCGCAGTAGTTTCGATTTGAGCCATTCGCGTGCTATAGGCTTTTGTTGTGCTAATTGTCAAGGTGTCCACAGCTGTATTCACTCAAGAGTTGATAAGCTTTGCATTTATTTGTTAATTACTTTCAAAAGACAGTAACTAGTAATATATAATGTATTACATTTTGGAAGTAACTTGCCCAACACTGGTTATCTGTGCACTGATGTGGAATACCTGTGACTCTACCTGTGCAACTCCACCGAGCAAGGACACCGACAAGGCACTTAGGTATCTTTTATTTTCCTTTCGGCACACACTCTCCTTACACCTTCTTTTTCCCACATCTATCATGTGTTTCCAATACATTCCTGTTTTTTCTCAACAATGTTCTAACGCAGACAGCAATGCAATCTTGCTAACCTTCGCCCTATCTACACCTCTTCTGCTGCACCCATCTCTTTTTCCTGTGGGTCTCTGGAATTGTCAGTCAGTTGTCAACAATGACTTCATTCCATCCATTGCTTCTCAGTCTACTCTTGGTATCTCAGGCTTTAATGGGACCTGGATTCGTCCAAAAGGCTCAGCAACCCCTGCTGCTCAACTAATGCTTCTTTGTGAACATCAGACCAAACTCAGGGCAGCAGAGACAGAATGGCACAAATCAAAAGATCCATCTGTCCTGAGTATATATCAGTCTTTGTTTTCATCTTTCTTTGTTAAAGTCCATGCTGCCAAATCTCCCTATTTCCACAAAAAGATCAACAGCACTTCAGACACATGTAATCTCTTCAAAACATTAAATTCCCTCCTCTGTCCCCCTCCACCACCTCTTTAACAGCTGATGATTTTGCTGCATTCTTCACAGACAAAACTAAAACTATCAGTTGTCAGTTCTTAGCTCCACACACACAGGAACTCAAACCAACCGCATCCAATGCTAAAACTCCCCTCTCCTCCTTCTGTCCCCTCACTGAGGCAGAAGTATCTAAATTTCTCCTTGCCAGCCGTCCTACATCAAGCCATCTAGACCCAATCCCCTCACACCTTCTTCAAGCTATCTCTTCTACAATTCTACCAGCACTCACACATATCATCAACGCATCTCTTTTCACAGGCATTTTGCCCACCGCATTCAAGTAGGCTCGGGTAACCCTACTGCTCAAAAAAACTGCATTAAACACTTCACTTGTAGATTGCTACAAACCTGTCTCTCTTCTTCCATTCTTATCGAAAACACTTGAATGAGTTGTTTTCAACCAGGTATCATTATTTATTTAACAGCATAACCAGCTGGACATTAACTACTGAGGTTTCAGAAGCAGCCATTCAACTGAGACTGTGTTGATTGCGAAAGCTGATTCCAGATCATGTGTTCTCATTCCGCTGGATCTATCTGCCGCTTTTGACACTGTAAATCATCAGATCCTCCTGTACACCCTCTCTTCACTGGGCATTACAAGAACTGCATTTTATTTATTTGAATCCTATCTCACAGGTAGGTCTTTCAGGGTGGCCTGGGGAGGGGAGGTATTCAAAGCAAATCAACTGGTCATTGGGGCTCCTCAGGGATCAGTTCTTGGACCCCTCCTCTTCTCCATATACACTACATCACTGGGTCCCATCATACAGGCACGTGGCCTCTCCTACCATTGCTATGCTGATGACACACAGCTCTATCTCTCATTTCAACCAGACATTCCAATGTTGGCTGCACGGATCTCAGGCTGCTTGTCAAACATCTTGGCTTGGATGAAAGAACATCACCTACAGCTCAACCTGGCAAAGACTGAGCTTCTCGTCTTCCCTGCCACTCCGACTCTATAACATAATTTCACCATCCAGCTAGGTTAATCAACAATTATCCAATCAAGTTCAGTCAAAAATCGTGGTGTAATCTTTGATGATTAGCTGACCTTCAAGGACCACACTGCAAAGACAGCTCGATCATGCAGATTTGCTTTGCACAACATCGGAAAGATCAAGCTCTTCCTAATAAAGCATGCTGCACAACTTCTTGTTCAGGCCCTTGTCATTTCTAGTCTGAACTACTGCAATGCTCTTTTGGCTGGACTTCGATCATGTACAATCAAACCTCTACAAATGATTCAGACTGCAGCAGCACGTCTGATCTTCAAGGAGCCCAAAAGGGACTGTCATGCCGCTTGAGAAAAAAAAGGAAAAAAAAGCGTTTTTGTTTTGTTTCAACAGTACAGCGTGATCTGTTTATCTTTGTAACGGTAGTAACGCGGTACTGCGCACGTCATGAATCAGGAAGTAGATCGCTATGCGGTAGTCAGTCGCAGCAGTCTGCGAGCTCTCTCAGTCATCCGTTTCTCGAGCGATCGCCTTTTCCTTTTCCCCTTTGCTAAAGCAACGTCTGTGAGTTTTTCTCATCATGTAATATTAGGACAGTGTCTATTTTCATCTTTGTAAGACTATTGAGACGGCTAAGCTAGCTTTACGTTTATTACTGCCGATTGTTTACTAGCTCGATTGCGTTTTATCATATAGATCACCGCTGTGTAGATAATCCGTGCTGTTTTCTCTGTCACTTGTATTTGGATTTAATATTAATATATATCTCATTTGTATTGTATTACAGTTTCACAATATTCCCAGTAAACTTTATGGAAATTAATCATCTGTGCCCTGGAGTTTCTTGGGAGTGTTTAAGCTGAATGGAGCATAGTCCATGACAGGGACCATATCACACCTCTCTTTATCTCCCTGCACTGGCTGCCAGTTGCGGCTCACATCAAGTTTAAGATATTGATGATTGCATAAAGAAAGAACAGCCACAGGCTCAGCACCCTCCTACTTCCATTCACTCTTACAAATCTACATCCCCTCCAGAAGCCTGAGATCTACAAGTGAGCGACGCCTCGTGGTACCATCAAAAAGAGGCACAAAATCACTTTCCAGAACATTTTTGTTCACCGTTCCATGCTGGTGGAATGGTCTTCCCACGCCCATCTGGAATGCTGAATCCCTGACAATTCACTTTCAATTTCCTTAATCCCTCCCTGTTCTAGCTTGTACTAATCTGAGCGATGTCTAAAACTTTGTATTACGAGCACTTCCTGTGTTTATTTGCCTCTTTATGATGAATTGCATGTTGTACTCCTCAATTGTAAGTCACTTTGCATAAAAGTGTCTGCTAAATGAATAAATGTAGAGTCAGGCAGAGTGTTGACTTTTACCAAGGTGTCAGTAGAGTGACAGTTCATCAAGAAGGAAGACTGCACTGAGAAGTATCAAAGACTATAGAATGCCCAAGACGTGACACTCGTATGGTTATGAATGGGGGGGAAAATGCAACGCTCAATATGGCTGCTCCATTGAAGGAAGCCCTGCTTTCTGAGTAAAAGAGCCAATCGCTATTCGGTAAAGTCATTACGTCACTGCAGCTGCCTTTAGAAGTCCCGGTTGCTATGGAAACTCTCAGCGTTCTGGAGACGCGTGCTTAGGACTGCGCTTGCGCATTGGCTGGTCTAGCCTGAAAAATACGCTTTTTTTAACGCTATTGGCGCATAAGAAACAACATTTATGAGACAGTTGTTGTCATATTTCATTGGTGATTTCAAATATGAAATTTAATCATAAGCTTGACAAACAGTTTTGGAGAATTTGATGTTTCCCCATTCAAAGAGATAGAAGCTGCAATTGCATGCCCAAGAGGTGTTTCAAAGATGGCCACTGAGTGACATGACTTGTCTTAAAGGGACTTTGGAAGTATCAACTGAAATAAATGCTTCCCCTTTGTGGACACTAACATAGTAGGCATCTCTGGCCCCATAGAGTGATAGTAAATTAAGTTTACAGGAAATATGCTTGAAATCTCCTTCATCTTCTCAGATACTGTGATTTCATTGTAATTCTTATCACAACGTCACTGAATTCACCATTAACTATTCACCTCAACAGTTTATGTTGTTGTATATGATATCATTGTAATCCTTGACCATAAAAATATAGGGGTAGACATCACATTTTCTGTGTTAACATGTTTGGTTCAGGAGATATAATATAGAATACATAATTCGGTAATGGCGGAAAAGAAAATGGCGAACACGAAGCGTTTTTGCGATGGCTCCATTTCTGAAAATGTTCAGGGCTGCAAACTGTACAAGTGTACCAAGTTTCATGCTTTTATGAAAAAGTGGGAAAAAAATTTCACATATCACCTGGACTACAAGAACATTAATTAGACAGGCCAAAATCGACTTGTTCTTAGCAGAGCTCCTGAGAGAGGAGCTGTAAAAATATATTGAGATGGTTTTTGGTGCTCATACCGCAAATATATATTCTTAAGGACATCAAAACCTAAAATAAAACTCCAGAAAGGTGTGAAATATGTGACCTTTAAGATATTTCTGATGAAATCCGAGAGCTTTCTGACCAGCTTTCTTTGCTATCACACTTACAGATACACCTGAAGAGTCAAGCCCAGGGGTGTCAAACTCAATTCCTTGAGGGCCAGAGCCCTGCGGAGTTTAGATTCAGCCCTAATTAAACACACCTGATCCAACAAATCAAGTCATTCGGGCTTATTTGAAAACTACATGGTATGTGTGTTGGAGCAGGGTTGGAACAAAACTCTGCACACTCATGTGGGGCTCAAAGGGAGATGGTCCTCACTGCAGAACACAAGATCCAGGGGGCGAGGTTGGATCCAGATCCAACTCCTCCCACTTTATAAACTTTGTTCCACCGGATGAACCTGCATATTTTGTGAAGTTGCAGCCCGTGGTCGCCAACGTTTGCTCTTATCAATGTAAGTCTACATTTGATTAATAATATAGTCGAGATAGATTCATAATGTAGTGTACGCCTGTAAGTAATGATCACAGTTAAAGATGTCAAAGTTTTGATGGTGTCCATACTTTTTGATAACGCCAAGACATGTTTAAGTAACTTTAATAGCGCTAACTAGATAACGGCTAGCGCGCACGTGTATAGCTCTGCAGAGGTGGCCTAATTAAGTTAGCTAACTTAGTTAAACTAATTTGCGTTGGAAATACAGCTGGTATGTTTAGATATTTATGCTATGCTATGGTAAGCTAACATGTGAACTGTTGTCAGCGATATGACACTACCCAGTAGCCAGGTTACTCATCGCTAACTTGCCAAGAAATAACATTTGAAATACATTTAACCTTGTCCATAGATGCACAGAACAGTGTTGCGGCAATGAGAAGATTGCCCTTCAGAGATGCCAGAGCTATTGCTGTAATTGCCATTGCCCGTTCTGCGGACCAAAAGTGTTCAAACCCACCATGGAACTTCACGTGGAGAATCATGTCTGCAACCACTTATCTTTGGCAGTACAGCATGAAGGCAAGTTGATATTGATTTATTTATTTTTTTATTCGTAGTTATTGTTAATATTATTTTACTGACGTTAACAGTTGCTCATTAGCCTAATTTGTTTAATGTAAGCCTCGTAGTATTGTAACGCTTGAACAATACAATACAACTTTTTTAGCATGCATCTTTCATTAGGAAGAATAGAAAGAATATGTGAGTGCTAGAAAATGTATATAATATATATAAAATCAATGTCTTATGTAACAGTATTGCACTATACATTATTTTTGAGTGGCCATTTGATTTCACCCAGGTGAGAGCCTTGAATTTATTACAGAAATAAGTTGATGACTCTTTCAGTTTGCCTCAGTTTTTTT